GCTATTTGAGACTTACTGTATGCAAGGCATAAAGAATTGGCAGAAGCAGGTTCCACCCTCTTCAAGGGCAACTTATTCTCCTCATAGCCCCATACTTCCTACTGTTGAAAATTGATGAGGAAACTTTTTAAAAATAGTCCAGCTGAAACTCGTGTCCTGTCTTTTTAGTACCTTAACATACAGTTAATGTTTTCTCTGAGTGACAATTTTTAGTACTCTTCAAAAAGTTACTTTGATTTCTCTGTATTTTAAGAGAACTTTTGCAGGTGCACACTCACATAAGATTAGTGATAACCAGATTACTGGCTGAGAGTGACTCTGCTAGTCCACAGGGGGCAACTATAAACTATTGTGAAAAATCACAGATTATTTTTAGGTTTGTTTGAGAACAGATCACAAGTACTGGATCTTAAACTGTCTTTTTTAGGAGATTGTGGTAAATGGGACTGAGTTATGTTTTGTCCATAAATGTTGTCTTCTAAAAATATTTAAAAATATTTTAGAATTTTAGCTAAGTTATGGCTCTCAGTAGTTTTTCCATCATGGCAGTTCAGTTCGGGACCTGGTCCAACTACTGTGATGATTCAGCTGGCCTGAGGCCGAGGTCTTTTTCCCAGACACCAAGGAACAGAGAGGCACCTCTGTCTTAGCTGGTGGGTATGGAGCTTCTGTGCTTTAAGAGAGCTTGCCTGCCCTGGAGCCAAGTAGAATTTAGGTCCCCAGGGCTCATAGCTACTGCAGCTGTGCAGTGAAGGGCTTAGGGAAGGCTGAAGCACACAGGCAACACCTCAGTCCCCGTGGACCTAAAGGCTGTCTCTCCTTTGCCAGGAAAACTTTCCTGTCCCCTCAACAAATGTAGCCTTTGAAAGCCTTGAAAACTGTGCAGCTCCTGGGGAACTGGCCTTTAGACTTGGAGTCAGATACAGGACTTCTTTTCAGGGTTTGATTATTCATACCCTCTCTTAGCATGGATAAATCCAGCCTTGCTGTTGGTCTGTGTGTGATGAGGAGTGATTCCTCAGAGAGAGAAGGGCAGCCCTCTGCACCAGACTCCTGAGCTTTGCAATCATGCTGATGGCCACAATTTTTACTTGAGTTGGTTTAATTCAGGGCTCTGTACTAACTACCACCTGATGCCTCTGTCCCTGTTTTTCTTTTTCTTTTTTTTTTTAAGATTTATTTATTTATTTATCATAGAGAGAGAGAGAGGCAGAGACACAGGAGGAGGGAGAAGCAGGCTCCAAGCCGGGAGCCTGATGTGGGACTCGGTCCCGGGACTCCAGGATCACGCCCTAGGCCAAAGGCAGGCGCTAAACCGCTGAGCCACCCAGGGATCCCCCCCTGTTTTTCTTATTAGTAGAGTCACAGCTGTTTTAGGAGAGGTGTCAGTTGAAGCCAGTTTCTTGTTCCTCTGGATGGAGGTTGAAGAGTTGCTAGGCCCAGAAGAGAATGAACGTTATCTCTATTGCCAAACCCTGCTTTTAGGCTGGGGTTGGAGACATGAGCCACTAAAACCTGTTACACTGGGCCTTGGAACTCCAGTGGAACCTGAAATGTGGATGGGCCTCCTGTTTCAAATATACCTCCATCCCACTGCTAGGAAAGGCACTTCCTGCTTAGCCTCCTGCTTGGCCTCCTGCCATTGGATGCCCTGAACAAGCTGTTCTTGGAATCTCTGCCAGGCTTTTCCTCCACCACTAGTAATGCATTGCCTGTGTTCTGTGATCCATCTGTGACACCTATAATCCTGCGTGTGGGGAGTCTAGATGATAAAGTGGTTTTGAAATAGAATTGGTTCCCTCTCCCTTCCTGGAAGTGATGGTAGTTAATTTGAAGGGTAGGGTGGGTGGGAATAGAGTTTGTTCTTCAAGCCACCTTTCTGCACCAATAAAACATCAACAACTTCCAATATGCCATTCTGGGTGAAAAGGGATTAGGTAGCATTTTTTTTCCCCAAAAGACACAGAACTTCAGCCACCAAGCTAAAGGCCAACAAATCCATAATCTAAGCTAGTTATATACTGCACTGAATGTCCAAGGGCCAAGGTAGTCAAAAGTGGCAGTCTGAAAATGCTCATCGTGCTTTTGTTCCTCCCTCTGCCAGTTGCGCAGGACCCATTCTATTTATCTGTAAAATGGGAATGTGCAACAGCTCCTTAGCAAGGTCACGAACTCCCTTCTCCAAGCATTCCAGGCAAGTCACACGGCTATTGGTTGGATTTTAAGGCCCATGTGAAGTGTGTGGAGCTTTGGTCTGGAAGACAGTTAAATTTAGGGGAAAATATTTCATAGAAAGCAAATGCTGTTTGTCTTTCAGTTTTTCTTTTGTCTGTGCATTTTTTCCTGCACAGAGACCTTTGAGCATTGTATTGGTTCTAACTCTTGTAGGAATCAAGGCCGTTACTGCTTTCCTTGGGTTATTCCAGATGAACAAATACTGGGAAGTACTGAGGACACCTTGTTGTAAGCTTTCTATACTTTCTACTAATGGTGTGTGTGACCTCCAACCAGGCCCTACAGAATGGAGTCTGAGAGCCCCTTGGCTCCCCAGCCCACCCTTGTTAATCAGGTTGTACCATGGTAGCTGAGATGGCTACAGCCTTAGCCTACCTGCTGGAATGTAGTTCACTTGGGGACTGGCAAACATGCGGCCATTTTAAACACCGCTGCTCTTACCAGTTATGTGCCCTTGAAGTTGGTCACCTCTCTGAGTTTGGAGATCTTGGTTATCTCAGTGAATCTTTGCAAGAATTACAGAGAATATGTTAAAGTGCCCCAGCAGCATCTCGTGTGTAGTTGATGCTCAATCCATGAAGGACTGCCCATCCTCCAAATTCACCTGGTCAGGATTTTTTGTTCAGTGATAACCACCAAGCAGCTAGAGACATACTCCCGGTCTTTTGAGGCATTATGTAGGGGAGGGGAAAAAAGCGAAAGCAATTTCAGTGCCTTCCACTGAAAACACTATATAAACTTTAATCTCATGTTCCCTATTCTTGTCATCTTTGACCTCTGGCCTAAGCATGACCAAAGGGCATCCTTTCTTAGAGTCCTATTTTTAAGTCTCTTGAGCCAGGCAGTATATTGAGTCAATACTCCTAGAGCTTGAAATCCTGGAAAGATTCAGAGAGGAACCCGAGACCCTCTGAGGGGAAAGGACCTTATGGTCACTTTGTGAGCTGGTGCAAAACTGGGAGTAGAACCCAGATCCCCTCCTCCCAGTTCTGAGCGGCCTACATCCCACAGCAGTGGAAACAGGGAGGGTCTTGCATCTCCAGGCTAACTACCTTCAGAGAGCCCTGCCTCACTTGGGACCTAGGAGACTGTGACCAGATATATGGTATGACCCCCAGGCACTTGTGTCGCCAGGCCTAAGCAGCTATTTTAAAACTTGGATTTGGAACGGCCAATATTCCTGTGACTCAGAGGTGACTGACACTCCAGATAGTAGTCTGGGAAATACCTGTCCTCTTTTAGTTATTAATTCAACAAATGGTTATTGGGTACCTCTTGGGCCAGGCATCATGCTAGATGCTGGGGAGATGGAAGCAAACAGGACAAAGTTATACTGAAAAGGATTCTAATCACTGCCAACCCAGCAAGCAGACACTGTTTTCCCTCCTCAAAGAAATGTGTCATATTTTAATTTTTTAATTTATTTTTATTTTTTAAAAGATTTTATTTATTCATGAGAGAGACAGAGAGAGGCAGAGACACAGAGGGAGAAGCAGGCTCCCTGCGGGGAGCCCAGTGCAGGACTTGATCCCAGGACCCCAAGAGATCATGACCTGAGCCAAAGTCAGATGCTCAACCACTGAGTCACCCTGGTGCCTCTGTGTCATTTTTTTTTTAAGACAATCAAATTCTGACTGCCCATATCCCATCAAGCTAATAGGAAATTTCATGTCAGTCAATCTTGTGCCTTCTCACTCTCCGTTGTGCCTAGTTTCAGGATTCTTAACCTAGTTGTCAAGCATCAACACTCTCCAGTCATTTGTCACAGTTACGGTTGAGGCATCTGCTCTTTGTACCCCTTTGGTCCATTTGGTCCAAGGGCCCAGCTGCCCATAGGCCACTTTAGGGTGTAGGACCCTAGGGAGGCTGGTCACCAGTTAACTTTTGCCCTCCTAGGTCTTGGCATTGACCAACTCTTTCCAAAGAACACACTCCAGGAGGAGGGTGGGAAGGTGGAGGGAGTCACAGGGCATCCTCCAGCAAGTTCATGCCGCTGCTTTTTAGTGTCGGCACATCTTGGTGTCTCATTCTGAATATAAGGGAAAAGTGAGACTATGAAGCTTTTTCCACCCAAACAGTACTGAAAATAACTTTGGGAATAGAGAATAAAACTTACTATCACATGGCAGGGAAGAGGCAGTGTGGGAGAGCAAAAATCAGACTTGGTTTTAAACCTTGGCTGTGCCTTATTCTACCCATGTGACTTGGAGCAGGTCTTTTACTCTCTGCAGTCAGATGGGCCCGAGTTAAATGAGTGTCGTAATACTCACCTGGCTTTCAGGTAAGGTTTAAAGACAATGTGTGCAAAGCTGCTAGTACCATGCCTGTTATCTATGTGCTTAGACAGTTGCCATTTCTGCTGCAGTGCTGTTGTTGGTATAAGGGGCATTAGCCAGAAGGTTAAGGTGCAGAAAATGGTGCACTGGGATCTTTAGCAGAAAGGTTGAGACGTTGTTGTCCAGCAGAAAGGAAGGCTTTGTGACCTGGATGGAGGAAAGTTGACACTGATTGATGTAGCAGTTGAAAGATGAGGACTGCCCCCACTGCCTCCCATCTCTTTGGTTGGTGTGATGGAGTGGGAACACTTAAGGGCAGAAATGCTGAATGTGGCCCCTTGAGGTTTTGGGTGGCAAGGACAACCCTCAGGCTTTGTCTATGCCTTGGGGCTTCCTTCTGGCTCACTGGGAACCATAGATTCTTTAACTTGGTTTAATTGTCAAGTTGTACCTGCTTTATCATCACTGACTATGTTCACTCTCTTCCAGGGGCTCCACGGGCCTTACCCCTTCGGCCAGTCTTAAATGGACACCGGCAAGAAGAAAAATTAACAAAAGACAGAAGGCCTGACTTTGGGGTGGGGGGGAGGGCAGGGGGTTCCTCTGGATTGCAGACCATACCGCATGGACCCCTGGCTCTGACCCCCCCCCAATCCTGGAAGAAGAGGAAGAAGCAAAACAGACTAGTTTTGAGTAAACTCAGTATGCATGTGTGAATGCTGAATCGCAGGAATGGTGTTGAGGCTACTAAGAAGAAACCCATGCAGCCGCCTTGGGTTTTGTTTATTAGGCATCAGTCTAACAAGTCATTAGGTCACTTGGGAAGGAAAACAAAGTTTCAAATGGGGGAAAAAAAGCCATCTTTTTAAACAAAAATTACTTTGCCTACAGACAGGTTGTAGTTTTGAGCACACGTTAATTTGTTTCCCTCTTTCCCCACTCTTTTCTTTTCCTTTTTTTTTTTTTCTTTTTTTTTAAGGTAAGGGATAATATACCCTTTCTAGAATAGCTGCTTGCTCTGGAAGCGATTCAGGTTACAAGCTGGTGTGGCATGTTTGGGGACTCCATGGGTCTGTGCTACGGGTGGACATCTCCTGTGCCACCTGACTCCAGCAGTCTCTGACCCCATTTGTTTTTAATGGCATCAGCCAATGAGTTATCACCCTTTTCCTCTTCTTTTCTGTTTAATCTTCTGTTGATTTACACCTTTGACATTTGTATTCATCAACCCTGTGGCTTGTTACCATCAGAACCTCTCTGAAGACCAAACTTCCCTGTGTGGCCAGCAGAGGAAGTCTTGAAGACAGATCTTGGGCAACATGGAAGTTTCTGAGGCCCAGAGGTGTCCTTCTGCACACACAACAATTCAGATTGCTTTTTTCCATGTTTCTCTTGGCAGAGAGAAATGCCATCACGCTTACTGCTCTTTTGGATTCTTCATACACAGTGGCTCCCCGTTCGCTCTGGAAACAGTGCCTCTGTGTGTGTGTGTGCCACATGCACACACACACACACGAGTGTTGGTGCAGCTCACCAGCAAACATGCGGCAGGCAGGTGGAAAGGTGTCCAGGCTTCTCTGTTGTTAACAAACTCCCTTCCCTTGTTTCCCTCCCTTGTCTTTTGTGCTATTTTCACAGCCTGTTAGTGGAGGCTGAGCTGTTAACATATGAAGTTACAGCCCCAGATGGGGAATTGACCATGGGGAAGGGCCACAGTTACTGACTATGTGATTTGGGAGACCACACTTTGATGAAATGAGAGCACCCCCACCCTCAGCAGAATGCTTGGCTCTTGGGAGGTGGTGGGCAAGCGGCAGCCCAGCCAGAGCAGAAGATGATCGGCTGGCTGCCCACTTGGGCATGTGGCCCCACTGGCATCCTGTGGATCCCATGCAGATTGAGATGTGGACCTCTCCATGGGATGCTCGAACCAGGCTAGAACAGCTGTCTGCCAAAGATACAAGAATATGCAAGTCCCTCTTCTCTTTTCTTCTCACCCCCTCCTTCCCTTGAGTCTTGGTTGGTTTGATAGTCGGGGATGTGGATCTAGGGTGCGGTTGCAGGGTCACCTGCCTGTTCTCACACCTCCATCCACCCCAGGGGTGAGAGACAAGCAGAGAGACCGGGTGATGAGCGGCTGCAAGGGGTCATATAGCCTGGGTGTGGGTGAGGGTCTGCCTGCCTGTCTGTCTCTCGAGTGTCTGAGTTCCAAAAATGTGTGTTGTTTGTTCCTCCTCATCCTCTTCTGAGACTGTTGTTTTTTAAAGCTTGACTGTGGGAGAAAAGCTTGTATGAAGTTCCCCCTTTACCTCCCCACCTCCCACAAAATAAAAGGATAAGCTTTGGTCCAGTGGAAAAGTGCTGGGTGAAGGTGGGGCCAGCCTGCCAAGGAGAGCAGTGCAGCTGGGTCTGGGGTGAGACTACGGCTCACCCCAAGCAGCCGCTTCCAGTGCACACAAGTGCCCCGCTCCTGAGCAGAGGGAAGTCCCTCTGGGTGCCCAGGCCATCACCGGCCCAAGCCAGGGGCTCACCATGGCTTTTTGTCTGAGGGCCCTCTGAGGCCCAGATTGCCACTACTGTTGGTGCCAACCTCCTGGGACACTGCCACCCTGGAGCCCACAGACACCCCAGCCATTCTCCTGGTTTGATGGCCCTCAAGACAGCACGTCTCCAGCTACTGCTGGCAGGATCATGGGAGGCTTTACATCACCTGGTTTCTTAGCTTCCTCATCAGCCCCACACCAGGTGTCCCTTCCCCACTTCCCAGGAGAGGCTGTCTGGCTTGATTCAGCTGGGGCTTTAGTAGGTCACCGTTAGTCTGGCCCTGCCAGAGGCATCCCACTCCTCCTCTTGCTTGGAGGCAAGGTGACTGTCCCAAGCACGTTGACTCCCGTCCCAAGAGCAAACCATTTCTGTACACATCCTTGGAGAGGTGAGCTCCTTGCAGAGGGCCAGAGCAAGCACAAGCCATGCAGTAGGAGTAAGGGATTCCATGGCTGCCCCAGGACCATTCAGTCCCCTCTCACTAGTCTGAGTTCTGAGCAGTGCCTGGAGCCCCTTCTCCTCCCCTGCCTAGTGTGGTGATAGAAGGGACTCTCTCAGCCCCAGTGTGCTCTGCTCCTCTTGGACTCTTCCCCAAAAGTCAGGCTGCCTCTAGGCAGGACCACAAGTGTCTGGCACCCATGAGAGGAGGCAGACAGCATCCTTAGGGGCCTGAGCCCAGCGAGGGAGGCAGAGAGACTCTGGCCTGGGAAGAACCTATTGTGTGCATGGAGTGAGGTGTGTGTGGATGTGTGTACGCGTGCATGCCTTTTTTTTTCTTTTTGCCATGGGGACAGTTGAATTTGGGGTATTTTTCTACAAGAAACAGCCTTCTCTCCCCCAGTAAGGATTGGCTGTAACCTTAAGCTCATCATAGAACCTCACCAAGACAGCTTGTGTGTCTTGAGGATGGCCAAGATGGGATCCCCAAATTCAACCGGAGCCCCAGCAGGAGAGGACGGTGGGGTTGCCAGGGCTCAGAAGTGCAAGCTGATTCCCCACCCCACCCTGCCTTGCCTTTCCTTCATTTCCTTGGTTGAGTGCTGGAGCAGCAGTGGCTGCCCGTCCAACCTGGACAGTGGTGTGTAGCAAGCAGGCTGGGTGGGTGTTTGTGGTGGGGCCTCTTGGTGCCTGGGAGGAGCTGAAGATGGGGAGGTTTTTCCTTACTGTATAAATGAATATTTGTATGATTAAATTAACACACACACACACAAAATCCTGTTTTCATGTGTGTTATTTTTATCGTGCTGTCAACTGCTACTCGCCATGTACTGCTCACCCCCACAGTGACTCTGTGATATGTGCTTTTTAGTCCCTGGGTCTTCTTTTTGCAAATGGGAAAACTGATTAGCCCTGGGGTTATAATTAGATCTACTGCCTTCCTAGCTTCAGTGACCAAAATGGTGAGGAAGCTCTTTCCAACGGCCTTTAGGTCTACAGTGTACTGTGCATCTATTGAGCATCTTGCTATCCCCAGCACATAAGCACCAGCCAAGTTAGTGTTGATCTGCCAGCAGGCATTGTTTGGGCATTTACTGTGTGTTGGGTACATAGCACAGTTGTAGGAATAGCATAGGGGAAATGCAGAGCATTACGGGCATCTTCCCTACGGGGAAAAAAGACAAGGCTTAGCTGAGGAGTCGTCCTCAGTCCTAGCTGGGCCCCTGGCATCCTAGATTTAGATAGAAGAGGGAATGCATCTTCTCTTAAGGTGGCTCCCATGGTGGATGGGTTATAGTTCTTTGGTGGTCTAGGCCCTGCTTCTGGAATATAATGAATTAGATAAGTTTTTGTGGACTGGCCTGGCAATCTGAGAGTCAGGTATAGGGACCATGTTCTAGGCAATTGGCAAACAAGCTTGGAATCTTCCCCCAGTACTTAAAAGTGATATAGGCCTATGGTTACCTTGTCGTCAGATAGCATGCAAAGCTATTTGACGACTTAACTGGCACAATGACAAATGGTGGATTCACTGGATCCATCTCTTCATGTCAGTAGCACTTTTAAGAGCTCAGAACTCAAGTTTGTCCTTAGTCACAATCACTCCTATGGTGAAGAGATGAGATCAGAGTGGGGGTTGCTTGAATCGTACAGGCTCAGACCCATGGCCTTGGCTCCCAGATTCTGGCATTAATTTCACTTAATTGCAGATCCTCAAATTGGCCTTCACCCTTGGCTGGCAAAGCTGTATGTCCTAAATGATGGTGAGGCCATTTCCCTGTAGACAGCTCAGTGAAGGAACGGGTGGCCCTAGATTCATGAGAGAAATGGGGGTGTCACAACAGAACTGGCCTCTGCTCCAAGGGCCTAAATACAGGACTTGAGGAGTGTCTCTACTTAACCTGATACCAGAGCCCAAGGGTGTGGGCGCCTGGCCCAGAGACCCCAGTGGTGGGTGCCCTCAGCCCCGCCCCCACGTGGTGCGTGACAGCACACCAGCGTCCTGCTTCCTTCCAGGCGCCCCAGGCTGTTTGTTCTCTTCAGGGGAGGGCCCCCACCCTGAACCTGGGTATCTGGCAGCGCAGACCCACTCCCAGGCCCTACTCGACACCCCTACCACTGGACACCTATTTGCTTGGCAGAATCTGTTTGTCTTTGGGGCTGTAACCTGTCAAGAAGTGACCAGGCCCTGGGAGAGGGGAGCAGCTTTGATGGCGGCTCCTGGCTCAAGCTATTCCCACGGGGGCTGGGTGACAGGGAGGGGGCTCTTGCCTGGGGTGGGGGCGGAGGTGCTGGGGAGGCCGTTGCAGTGGTCCGGCCCGGCCCTCCTGCAGAGCAAACAGGTCCTCGGGCCACTTCCCTGCCCTAGCTCAGGTTGAACCTGGGTGCCTCCCACCCTGTTCTCTAGAAGGCCCCTCCCTCACCTGATTGCTGTGACTGGGCCGCTTTCCCAGACACCACCTGGTGTCCAGCCCTGTGTGGCGGCCAAGAGAGCAAGGCGCCCTGGGCACTCATGGGAGTGGAGTACCAAGCAGGCAAGGCTGCTTTGAGCCTGAGAGTGTGTTCGAGTTTGGGGGTCAGGGTGTCCAGAGAATGGATTCTGACAGGTTAACATGACTGATGGATCGCAGATGCCTTCTCTTTTGTAAAACGTCCATGGCCATGTTTAAAAGCCAGGACTTAGATGGAGCTCTGGGGGGTGGGGGTGAGGTGCTTAATATCCTTCTTAGCCCTTTGAGATGCTGTAATCTAGGGCAGTGCTTCACAAATCTTCTGATTTAGCAAATATTGGGGAAGCAGGCAAGATTCTACATGTCTAACAAGCTCCCAGGTGAGCAGACACTGCTCCCTCTGGGGACTGGAGTTTGCATGGGGACAGTAGAGAATGGCGTGAAGGGATCGCAAGCCCCCCACCTGCTGCAGCTGTGAGATCGAGCCAGAGCTAGCCAGGGCTGTGGTGGCCAGACCCACTAGAATTTGGGGGAGTTAAACAGTAATGCTCAGAATCTAGAACAGTGATACTCAAAATGTGGGCCATGGTTCCCCAGCATTTCCCAGGGATTATCCAAGGCTGTGATTTCTGGCTTACACGTTCCTTCTAGTGTACTGCCTTTGTCACAAACAGCAAATGTCAGAGTGTCCACTGTAAATGTGGTTATATTGGCTGACTGCTGTTGACCAAGTCCTGTTAAAACTATTTACATGAATTCATTGAATCCTCACAAGTGTGAGACAGCCCAGTCTGGTGCTCATTTTGTGAACAAGTAACTCATAAGTGTCACCACTCACGGAACAGAAGTGCAGGCACCACAAAGCATGTACCCCCACTTAGTCCAGGGGTGCCTGGGAGGAAGTGGCACTTCAGCCCAACTTGAGGATGGAGGGTTGGGAAGGGAGTGGATGAAGCCGTCTGCGGGAAGGTTGGGGAGAGGGTGGTATGCTGAGCCCCTGACAGGAGATCAGCGCCTCTGTGAGTTCCTTCCTGTGGCCCCGTTTGTATCTTGAGGAGAGGAAGAAGGATGGCCTTCCCAGTCACTGCTTGGGAGAGGTCTGCTGCCCTCACCCCTGTGCACTTCATGTATTCACTCTTACTGAGCATTGCTTATATGCAATGTGCTAGTCTAGGTGCTGGAGATAGGGCAGTGGCCAAAAGAGACGAAAGTCCCTAGTCTCATAGAGCCAACACTCCAGCCAGGGTTAACAGACAAGAAACACAGATGCAGTATGTCAAGAGGTGACGGGTGCTATGGGGCGAGAGAAAGCAAAGGACAGGGAGTGCTGGTGTGGGAGAAAGGACTGCTAGAGAAGGCCAGAGAGGCCTTCGCTAAGAAGATGCATGAAGAGCATCTTGTGGATATGTGGAGGAAGAAGGTTCCAGGCAGAGAGAACAGCAAATGCAAGGGCCCTGAGGTGGGAACGTGGTAGTTGCAGACTGAGCAATAAGGGTAGTAAGAAATGAAGGCACCTGGGTGGCTCAGCAATTGCTTTCGGCCCAGGGCATGATCCTGGAATCCTGGAATCAAATCCTGCATTGGGCTCCCTGCATGGAGCCTGCTTCTCCCTCTGCCTGTGTCTTTGCCTCTCTCTCTGTGTGTCTCTCATGAATAAATAAAATCTTAAAAAAAAAAAAAAAGAAAAGAAAGAAAATGAGGTAAGGGGCGCCTGGGCGGTACAGTTGGTTAAGTGACTCTTGGGTTTGGTCCAGGTCATGATCTCAGGGTCATGAGCCCTCCACTACCACCTCTTCTCTCACTCAAATCAATAGAAACTTTCAAAATGAGGTCAGAAAAGTGAGGAGTGTCAAGTCAGGTGGGGCTTTGAGGTGACTGACATGGCTTTGGCTTTCACTGGAGGAGACAGGAGCCATCGGAGGGCGGTAAGCACATCCTCTAAAAGAGATTACACCGTAGGTGTAGACAAGGGCAGAAGCGAGGGGCCCCAGTGTTGACCGTGAGCTGTCAGTGGGATGGTGAGAAGTGGTTAGGTTCTCAGAACACTTGGGAAGCAGAGCCGAGAGTCTGTGCCCACGGATAGGATGCCGAGTGCTGGGAGAGGGATGGTATGCCAGGTGGGGGAATCGCTGCTCCCCGAGACAGAGGACTGCCTGAGGAGCAGCTCGCAGGTCGGCTCTGAGACAGGTGCACACCTGTGCCTGTTGCCATCTGTAGGAGGCGCGGAGCAGCCAGGTGGAGACACAGGTCTGCCACGTGGTCAGAGACGGGGCAGGAATCGAGCTGCAGGACTAGAGATGTCCATCACAGGAGTGCCCCCAGCTCTGACCTCATCTGTCCGCACACCCACTCCAAGCCAGCTCTTGCCCCCACTCCCTTGTGATGATCCTCCTTGACCCAGAGCTCCGAGGCTGCAGTTGACTTGTCCCGTCTCCACGGTCCCTTCTGTCCAGCTCTCTGTGCTCATCGTTCCTGCAGATGGGGGTAGAGGGCATGTGCGGCTGCAGGCTGTCCAGGCCGGGGTGGCTTCACCCAGGAGCCAGGTGAAGCAAGGGCCCCAGTGGGTTGTAGCTTCATTCCCGTGGTCCCCTCCTCCCAAGGACAGTCCAGGGCCCTGGAGTCAAGTTCTAGGAGTTCCTCCTGCCTCCCTGTGGGACAGGGAAGTGTGGAGAAGATGGGGGCTATGTCTGAGTGGGGGCCCCCAGGCCAGGTCAGCAGCTAGGACCCCCAAGATCCCTAAAAGGCTGGGCTATCACTACTTGGGCTTCTGAGCAGCCGAGGCCCCCAGATGGTTGGAAGGCAGTGCAGTGTGGAGCGCAGTGCGATAGCAAGTGCCAGGGAGGGATTGCAGCTGAGCCATGAGGAAGGCCCTCTAGGGGGGCGTGTAGGGAACAGGATCCGTATCCTTGGGGCCGGGGAGTGGAGCCACCTTGGATCTGGTGCGGGGTTGGGCCCAAGGCCAGCAGAGGGCGCCCCGTGGCCCAGGCCTTGTCCAGAGGGATGTCACGCTGCCCTAGGCTGGCTCCCCTGAAAGTATGTTTCCCAGATCCGCACTGCCCCAGGGCATGTGGCCCCTGCTCTCCATTGCAGGTAGGTGAGCTTGAGTTCTTGGATTGAGGCTCTGCTGCTCTTCCAGGATGGGCCCGGTCAGGGTATGCTCTGAGAGCCTCACTGTCTCGGTCTGTAATGAGGACAGCTCCAGAGGTGTCATGAGAATTGAAACCCATCACAGAAGTTTAGCCAGCACCGTATACCTGGCACATGGTAAGTGTCCCACGAAGCTGTTGTTATATTTTTGTGACCTGCCAGAGGTGGGAGGTCCAGG